ACGCCCAATCTCCTGATTTTGCCGACGACATGCCGCACCCCAGCGGTAGAAAGACGGGCAGACTCAGCAAAACTCCCCCCCGGGCCACGACTAACGTGTCGTCTGCGTAACAGATTACGCTCAGGCCCGGGAGGAGGGCACCTCTCAGCACCCAGTCATGCCCGATATTCCACAAAAGGGGGCACCGACCCCTGTGGAACACCGCGCACGACCGGGAACCGGTGCACGATCCCACCGTGTCCGGTACACGTGACCGATATGGCCGCCAAGTAGGAACCCAAGTATCTTGGGGTAGCCATTTCGTAAGCTGGCTTGCTGCTGCTGCTTGCTGCACATCAGCCCTTTTGCATTTGGGCAATTCTGCTCAAATGCTTTTTTTTTTAAATGGTTTCGGAAAGCGCAATTTACGGTGTGACCGTAACCACTTTACTCTAGGTAGGGATTGAATTCGTACTCCAGTATTAGCAGTAATATTTATGGAGTAATATGTAAGTTTGTAAATAAACCAAATAAATATGTAAATTTATTTGGTTTATCCAAATGTGAAACATAATAGCCTCGTTATGAGTAGCAGCCATCGATATATGCCACTGTCGTTTGCATCTCTGAAATTGTTAAAAATCTAAGTGAAAAGTCAAATGCTTTCAAGCGGCAAGGCAGTTTTCGTGCAAATGTTTGTTGGAGAAGACATAACCATACATTTGGAGCGACGAGCGCGGAGCACCGGCTCGTTAGTCGCTCGCTACGAGGTCACTTCATTCGAGATGAAATATGTTTCTGTATCTACCTACCACATGAGACTTGCCCCGGCGAACATCAGTTTACACTATAAAAAGCCATTTGGACAGCGGAGTTCTGGATTCGAAACTACGTCCATTTGTTAACTTAATTATACATATTTGTTCATGATGATATATTAACAATATTACTTATTGGATATTTTCCCAGTCGTGTCAGTGGTCAAGGGGTCGTTGATTCGAGATTTCGTGGTCTTGAATTTTATTAAAATTTTCAAAACACTATGATGAATCTCATTTGAGTCTCGCTAAGACGAAAAACAATAGAAGGCAATTTAACAGATGGCTGTTAATTGAAACACTACAAATTTAATTGGCAAATTAAATCCCCTGCACCGTTTTCAGATATTACCTTGTAATAAGTTGAGGGATTTCGATGCGTTTACAAGGATCAATGAGCCTTGAAAAATAATGTAACACAAAATCGTTTTTTTTTTTCTTTTCTTTTTATTGGTTATGTGGACGGATGAGCTCACGGCCGACTTGGTGAAAAGTGGTTATCGGAGCTCATAGACACTTGCGAGGTAAATGCCACCTACCTCAAGACATAAGTTTTAAGGTCTCCATTTTTACAGTACAATCAATCAAATCAATCAAAGTAATACATGCGTGAGGAATTCCAACACCGTTGCATCGTTTAATACGATTTCACTGGCCGTCTTATCCTTTAGGCCACGACGATTTAAAAGACGTTTTAGTGGTTTCTTTTATTAAATCCAAATCTCAAAAGCAAATATCATACCAATTAGTGACGGTAGAATCAAAATAAGTAACTATTCATAAAAAACAAGTACGAATAGCTACTAACGGCTAATTATTGAATTATATACGACAAAAACAGATTGTCATTTTAAGTAATCTCAAGTAATCTTTACCATTACAATTAATTAATAGCTTGATTACATGTTATATTCAAAGGAAGATTAATATTTTTCGTTATCTCTAGTCTCGGGCAGTTCATCAAAGGTTAAATTAAATGCACTTATTTAAGTAAAAACACGCTAATTGATGATATGAAATATAAGCTATAAATTGTGCAAACGTTTATTTTTATTAAACAAAATTATTCGTATTACATGAAACCATCCAATAATTTAAAATATATCAGCACTCGTGTCTTTACATAATGAGGTACGACATAATAAGTTTTTTAAAATGCCGGATCTCGTCTCGCTCCCGTCTCGGTAACCTGAATCTATTAAGTAAAATTTAAAATGCATAGACAGGTATTGTTAACGATACAGTACCACTTACTGCATGGCAGAGTTAAAAGCTCAGTACTTTGCATTTTTCAATTAACTGTGTAAACTTGTATACAGCTATGGCATCGTCAGTAGTTAAATTATTTAAAACAAATCAAGCTAGCAATAATTACAAAAAGTGCTCACCGTTGTTCTTATTTTTACGAGTGTGTAAGTAAGATGTAAGTGGACCGTTACAGAAATCGAATAGTAATAAAACAGTAGCCTAATGTAAAGGAAAAAAAAGGTTTTAAGCTAAATATAAATAAATATATCTCCGCTGGTTATGTTATATGCAGTTTCGAAGGAGTAACAATTTGTAAAGGTGTAGTCAGAATTTATCTTTTTTTATTGCTTAGACTGGGGAAGGTTTTCTCAGCTAACCTAGTATTTAGAGGTTTCCGAAGTCCATCGCTAAATGCCGCCACACACTTCGAGACTTGAGGTCTACTTCTCACACATATGACGGCAATCAGGACATTTTTTATTTATTTTTGCACATTAATCGTCACAATTACAGTACAAAACATATCTGCAGGATTTGAATACCGACATCCTTCAGCCAATGACGACTTCGGACTTTAATGTTACTATGGCAAAATTATTACTATGGAAAGTTTCCGGAAATCCTGCACAAAATGAATGCACATTGCGAGAATGCGCGAACCATATTGACATGGATTGACAGGTTGGTTGCCGCGCGATTTATGAATGAATTGATTGACAATGGTTGAACTAATATTTAATGCGTACACACGAACATAAAACTCAATAAAAATGTTAACGTTTGATTAAAGAAAATATCATTATTGGTTAATGGTTAAAGGTTCTTTCTCGAGATTAGATTAGTAAAGCGGGTTGGTTGAGTTTCTCTTTTGGGCTCGACTACCAATGCATTAAAGTCGAGATTTTAAGATCATTAAGGTTTGACCTTTTTATTGTCAACATTTATTTTAAACTTTCTCATAACGTGTCTAGTTTTGTAGTGGTCAATAGTTTATTTAGCTTAGTTGGATAGGCGAGTTATATCTGGCCATAAATGAATGAATGAATGTTTGCATAATAGCATGCCCGTAAACACTACTACCTAAATGTTACATCAATTACATTGGAATAGCTGTCAAGTCCGTCAGAGAGGAACATGTGAACATCTTGTGGCAGATATGCGTCGGAAAGTGGTACAGACCCGTGTCGGGCCCATAATAGTATTCGCTAGTATTCAAGATCAGAATTACAGTCGGGGAACAGGTAAAATTATTTTTAGTATATTTTCTTCCTAGTATTTTCTGATTAACGGCCGGATGGACTATTATCGTGCAATATCCTCAAGTTAAAGGTAATGGTAAATTATTAATGTGTGTGAAAAGATAAAACAAAGCTACATTTGAGTATATCTACATTTCAGCACACAGATGTCTAGTGCTAGACATAGGTCGCCCCCAAGCCTCGCCACAACGAAAACACATATGAGTACAGCATGAAAATGGGTCGATATCGGAATCGGATGAATAATAGAATTTTTTCAAATAAAAGTCTCGGAAATTTCTTTTAGTTTTTTTTCTCACTAGGCACAACCGTCAAGTTTAATGTGATACTTACGATACACTTTTGAAGTCGTCGTGGCCTAAAGGATAAGACGTCCGATGCATTCGTATGTATTGATGCACCGGTGTTCGAATTCCGCAGGCGGGTACCAATTTTTCTAATGAAATACGTACTTAACAAATGTTCACGATTGACTTCCACGGTGAAGGAATAACATCGTGTAATAAAAATTAAACCCGCAAAATTATAATTTGCGTTATTACTGGTGGTAGGACCTCTTGTGAGTCCGCACGGGTAGGTACCACCTCCCTGTCTATTTCAGCCGTGAAGCAGTAATGCGTTTCGGTTTGAAGGGTGGGGCAGCCGTTGTAACTATACTGAGACCTTAGAACTTATATCTCAAGTCGTGTGGCACATTTACATTGTAGATGTCTATGGGCTCCAGTAACCACTTAACACCAGGTGGACTGTGAGCTCGTCCACTCATCAAAGCAATAAAAAAAAAATACACTCAGTATATATCAATGCTTCGTGGTAAATCAATGATGTTTTTTTTGTTTTTTAAATATAATTATTTGTATTTAAAAAACAAAAAGCAAAACAGTATCATTTTCTCCTCTGTTAGTCAAACAATCTTATTTTTTAACTGCTGGTGAAATTTTAGTTTTACTAATAAGTTATTTTTGCAAATAGTCAGTTTTGAAAATTTCATGAACCCAACAAAAGAGAAAATGTAACATATACATATACGTTACGATGCAAGTCTACGTAATTAAAAAAAAACTACAAATACACGTAATTAATAAAGCACAAATCTACGTAATTAGAAAAAATATCAAAATCTAGTTTTGACAAATGCTGATTATCTCATCGAGCCTCAGCCTGAACGCCGGGCATGCTTTTTTTTACAATACCTATAAACTTTTTTGAAACTTTTCTAATTTTAATTAGAATTTTTTCAATAAAGAGTCAAACACAATGTTTCACATTATCATGTGGAGTTTTACACTTTGTAATTTCTAAAAATAGATAAATGAATATTGTAGGCTCCTTTATCAAAAAGTTTTCAAATTCCCGGAGGCGAAACTTCGGCGGAACTAAAGGAAAACATTTTATCGCCCTTAATTTTATGGCACGTTAGTAGGTATTAAATACTTTCAAAATGTGACATCCATAACTACATCAAATCCATCTTATGAGTATTTGTGAAATTTTGTAGTAATTACTTAAATTAATTACCGGCTGTTAAATTACACGTGTGCGAACTTTAACAGCCCATATCGGAGCCAAATAGTTCATAATGTCGTTTGGTTGAAGATAATCGTGGTTTCAATCAACGTCCTAATTCTGTTTATTATCACCAACATTAAAAATTAAATAAATAAAACTTCAATAATTACAAAAGTTATCTACTCACATATGTCAAGTGCGTGCAGTAATGATGCCTCGACGAGCAGCAAGACAGCTAAACACGACAACATCTCGTCACCCTCACTTCATCATCCTCCGACGCTTCAAGTCTGCAAAAATATTCACAAGGTTTCAGCGGAACATGATCAAATGACAACTCCAACTCCTGTATTGTCTATTTTAGTCTTTAAAAGCTTTCAAGAAAAATTTAAGGCGGCTCTTGCACTTAGGTAACTACGTACAGGCTTTTAAAATGTCGTTCGGCGTTTCGGATTTGGCGCGTGTTCGTCGTGACAAGAACTAAAAGTTCTAGCTCGGTGCGGACACACGAATGGCACGGAAGCACGGCGGTAACTGATAATATTTATATGACAAAATCTTCGCTACTGCTCGCTCACTCGCGCAGACACCCCGAGGGCCGCTCGGCAAGAGAAACGCCCCAGAATACCTAGGACGACTATATAGTGACTAGTGTCCTATAATTTGAATAACTATTTCTTCATAAATAACTAATCTTTATTTTTCGTGTATGACCCTAAAAGGCTCTAACGTCTATATATATGTTTGTATTCCAATGCTTGTTTGCAGAAGCCCCTTCAACTACACCCCGTAACAAAAGAATAAATGTCAGTTCCTAACAATAGCACGTTTGAGAACCAGTGTTGTGTCAAGGTCCGTGGCGTAGTGCAGAAGGACAATGCATTCGTGTGAAGTAGCTTTCTTGATGAATTGTTGAGACTTCCGCGTTAATGGCGTCAAGCTGGAGAAGTACCTAAGGTAATCTTCAACAACAGTACGGTCATGATTAATGGTCAGTTTCAGATTGTTTTTTTCCGAACTTCCCACCAATAGCCAATAAACGGGTGTTAAAAAAAAATTACCATTACAACGCTCATCATGGTATATATAAAACTTTAACTGGGAATATTTAATTTCTATATTAATTTGCAAAAAATGGATGCTAAAAATTTAAATGGATAATCTAGTTTGAAACGCGTTAATGGAAATTTGTAAGTTTGTTAAACGTTACTTTACGTAGAGACTGGCCATAAATAAGTTGATAAAGTATTTTATAAAATTTTAATTTCGATCTTAACATTCTCATTTGAACATTCATTATGTTTTTCTCAATTTTTACGCCAAGAGAACCGATTCGCTGTGTCGATATCATAGCACAAAGCATGCGTGTGTAGCAATAGTATATTAAGCCCTCTATCCGCTTGGTTTTAGTCGAACGTACCGGACCATTGATAGGAGCGATGAAACACACTCTGAAAAAAATTTGGACGTTGAAATCCTGACCGAACGCAAAAGATTTTATCTAGGGAAATGAATACAGCATCCACAAATACGTCGCTTATTTTAATAGAGGACGAGTTACAATTTTTATTTCGGGTTTATTCGATAGCTATCGTTTTTATGCACTCGAAATTCAAACACACCTAACGTAAATCGGTTCTCGGATTTTTGTGACTAAATCGAAATAATTTTTTTTAGTTAAACACTGAAAATCATGAAATAGGACGCACTATAGGAAAATACATTTCGTCTGAAACTCCGTATCCCAGTTGTTTCAAAACATAGTAAGTTTTAAGTTTGCAAACACTCCCTTGCGTGTATAAAGTTTATTTGAAATATGAAATATGAAATAATATTGATTTTGAATAAGTATATTATGAATGTTGTTTATTATAAATCTATATTTTTTTTAAATAAAATATAAATTTAAGATGAGTATGTTCGCAGTGATTTGTAGTAACGTATTCAGTCAAAATCAGCTATATTGATTTAAGGGTTTATTTTCTATAACATCGACTTTCGCGTGAAACGGTTTTGGGTTGGCTTTATAGGTAGGTAGGTACAAAAGAGGTATGAGGCTCTTCACTCAACACGACACAGTAGCTTTACTGCACCACTGGCGTTGTTAATTTCAATGAGCAACAGAAACTACGTACCATCAAGGGCTCAGTATCCACGTCTACCTAAGAAGACAAAAAAAAACTCCGAATTACAGAAGCACTTTACTCAGTATTTAAGTGTTATTACAGCTAGGGTTCAACTTCTGAAAGCGTGTTATGCGTTCCGATATACTTGAGTCGACTATTATCAAAGCCGGCAATGTGACTTTTGGACAATTATTGGTAAATCAGAAAAACGAATTATTGACTTTGTATTCCATTGGCAGTCACAAAGCTCTTCTGAACGACATCTTAGATAAATAACAGGTTATGTATTAACCTTTATTTAATGCAGGTTTTGAACCGTATTCTTTGAAGGAGACGATTATATTCAAATCAATCTGTATTGACATATCAATAACATTTTTTTGTCCAAATGCACAGATTGCCACCTTTGATAATAGACGACTCACTTATTCGAAGGGCGGGGCAGTATTTATGCAACAGAATTGAGACTTCTACTTGATCTCTCAGGAACGCTATCATGTCTGTGGCCTCGCCAACTACTTAAGACCCAGTGAGACGTAATCTAGTCTGCGCCTCTAGAGCATTAAAGAACAGAGTACTATAGTGATATAGCGGATAATAGTGTTACTTAGTGCACTTCAGTCAGCCCCTTGTAAATCCAATATGACACGAGCTATTATTGACAAGGAATATTCTTCGATTCTGTATTTTTTTTACACTTTATTGTTGACGAGGTCTATAGTTATAGCGCAGATATAGAGGTATAGATGTAATACGACTTTATAGTGGTAGACTACATTTTTCTTAGCCTATCTATATATTAATACGTGAAGCAAAAACTTTGTATCCCTTTTTACGAAAATTGCGCGGACGGCGGAGTATGAAATTTTCCACACTTATAGAGAATATAAAGAAGAAGTGCACAATGCTAATATTTTTTTTAAATAATGCATAAATGATCATCATCATCATCATCATCATCATTTCAGCCTATCGCCGTCCACTGCTGAACATAGGCCTCTCCAATAGATTTCCAGTGCGACCGGTTCATTGCCACCTGCATCCAACGAGACCCAGCGCTTTTTACTAGGTCGTCGGTCCATCTAGTAGGTGGCCGTCCCACACTGCGCTTGCCAGTACGTGGTCGCCACTCCAGGATCTTTCTGCCCCATCGACCGTCCTCTCTTCGTGCTATGTGGCCGGCCCATTGCCACTTCAGTTCACTAATTCTACGGGCTATGTCAGCAACCTTCGTTCTTCTACGGATCTCCTCATTTCGGATTCGATCACGTAGAGAAATGCCGAGCATAGCCCTCTCCATAGCTCGCTGCTCGACTTTGAGCCTTCTAAAAAGATCCCTAGTGAAGCACCACGTCTCCGAGCCGTAAGTCATCACTGGTAACACACATTGGTTGTACGCCTTTGTCTTAAGGCACTGAGGTATTTTGGACGAGAAGACGTTGTGCAGTTTAAAGCATAAATAATAATTAAGCATAAATGATACATTAAATCAATAAAGAAAACATTACACACACTATATACCATGTATTTGACGCACACACGCATGCAAGCTATTTGTTGTCAAGCTTTTGTTCTTGACGTCTGTTGTCAAATTGAGAATAGATTAAAAATATTGTTTGTCTTTGTATATTTTTTATAGTGTAGTCTTGGTGAAATTTGTGATTATAGAAGTATAAAATAAAATCATAATAGTGTACAAACTTACAATTCCAATTAATTATAGTCGAATTTCGACTACTGCGGGACCTCTAGTTTGTTTAATTATCACTACATAACACACAAAATTAGCTAATGGGAAGTATGTATATATATTTTTGTCTATTGTAGGTATGTTAACAGCTTTGAGAAGTGATTTAATTATTTTATTTTTTGCCCTTGTAGGCAGACAGGCGTACGGTCCTTTAATTTAATTCATTATATGTAAGTACTTATTAATATACATTTTAATCGTGCTTGATAGGGTTACACAATTGATTACTATTTTATTGAAATATATTGTGTATTTAAACTTGCATATAATAATTTTACTATAAAAATCAATAAATAATCTGCAAAATTTGTTGGTAACTAACTATATTTGTTATAATCCAAATTGCTCAGTGCAAAGCAAAGGCTTCTTCTCGTTTACACTGCTTCCACCCTGAAAGACGATGTGTATTTTGTTTCGACAAAAAAAAAATAACATATCTTTAGCAAGCGAACTAACCGTTCACGAGCAAAATAAGATTTCAATGCTGAGCATGATGACTAAAATAAACACTCAACGGTAGGCAGCGGCTTGGCTCTGTCCCTGGCATTGCAGAAGTCCATGGGCGACGGTAACCACTTAACACCAGGTGGGCTGTGAACTCGTACACCCATTTAAGCAATAAAAAAAACTATTGTAATAAAAAATATATATATTATATATTATTATTTTAGGCTTCCGGATTTGGAAAGACACTTTAAATATGCGATTAATGTATTTAATCATTCTTTGTTAGAACATGTTTTAGGAGTGGAATCATTTATTGTTTTCTTTTCAAAACTTAAGTATTTATTGCAATTGTTATCTTTCTTCTGTTTTTTATTGCAACAGTGTTTCATAATTAAGTAAAATTCAACAGCGGACGGATATAGGCAACATATAAAGCTGGAACTGCTAAAAATCGAATCATTTTCTCTTATTTATTTAAGATATATCATAATAATATTATTAATATAATTAGTCTTTTTTTTACTTTTTTAATAGTAAAAAAAACATTTGTGGCCGGTTCTTGAATTTTATTATTAACATGCTCCACGGTAAACCAAAACAAATCGAACGGAATCTATATTTATTATCGATATTGTTAAAATTAATATACTATAGTCATCTACACATGTGTTTGTGATGAATATTCGTACAGTTGTTATTGGGACTCGAGGGACGTTTTGCTCATAATACCATCAAGACACGATAAAGGGCGTGTGAGTAGTTTAAAAAAATCGATGTAATTCAAACAAATCGATATACTCGTGCATAGTGTATCGTGACCGGGTTTCACTGGTTCTAGTAGCAGTAGTGTTATTAAAACTAAGCGAAAATAAACGCCAAATAAATATCTATATATATAAAAATGAATTGCTGTTCGTTAGTCTCGCTAAAACTCGAGAACGGCTGGACCGATTTGGCTAATTTTGGT